GATAGCGGTAGCCCTGTTTTAGAAGCTTGCTGGTAATAAAAATATTCCGCTCGTTGAAATCCTTTACGTTGCTACAAGCTCTAGCGAATCTAATTAACTGAGAAAAATAACCCCGTAAGATGTTGCATGGGGTACGTCTCCATCCAAATGTGGATAATTAACTATACAAAAGTCAAAGTTATCTCTTTTATCATAAATTAATCATAATAATCATGTCTGAGATGCAACAGATACAAGAATTATGTATATATCATATATGTTCAACCGGCGTTTGCATATTTACATGTACAAACGACGTTTGCAAATTAGACAATACGGGTAATTACATGGGACTATGTCAAAATATAACTTTGCTTATGGAATAATAAATAAAGTTAGGGACGGGAATGGCATTTAAAAAGGCATATCCTCTATTATTTTACCTCAACACGTATTTCCAGTGAAAAAATGATTGAAAAAGTAAAACATATCGGCGTTTTGCTTTGCGAAAAGAACATTTGTGACAAAGTGATCTAAAAAAGTACTAAAGTCTATAATATAAAAGCTTAATATACGCCGTGTCCTAAAGTCTATGTCTTTTTTTGTTCCTGCAGTTGAAAAAATATCTGCAATTATTATATAATCTATAAATAGCTTTGAAATGCCTTTCCCTGATTGGTTAACAAGCAACTTTTTGTAAAAAATAACAGGTCAATATCAGAGTATATTCACTGTTTTTTTATGCCACCGCAGCATCTGCGATGCGGTGGCATATAGCGATTCACCTGTGTGTGTGTGTGTGCGTGTGTTTGTGTGTGTGTTTGTGTGTGTGTTATATAGATTATATAGTGAACTTAAAAAATGTTCTTGTGAAAAACCACTAGTCCAATATCAACCAAACTTGGCAGGATTGTTCCTTGGGTGAAGGGCTTCCAAAGTTGTTCAAAGAATTTCATTCCATGCAGAAATCTGGTTGCCATGGCAACCAAAAGGAATTATAAGAATAAATTTAAAAAATCTTCTTGTAAAGACCCAAAAGGCCTAGAGCTTAGATATTTTGCATAAGGCATTGTCTGGTAGACCTCTAACAATATTGCTCAAATTATAGCCCTGGGGTCAAAATTGGCCCCGCCCCGGGGGTCATTGATTTTCACTATGTACATATAGTAAAAACTTAAAATACCTTCTTGTAAAAAACCAAAAGGCCTAGAGCTAAGAGATATTTTGCATAAGGCATTGTCTGGTAAACCTCTAATAAGATTGTTCAAATTATAGCCCTTGAGTCAAAATCGGCCCCGCCCGGGGTCATTGATTTTCACTATATGTACATATAGTTAAAACTTAAAACACCTTCTTGTAAAGACACAAAAGGCCTAGAGCTTAGATATTTTGCATAAGGCATTGTCTGGTAGACCTCTACCCAGATTGTTCAAATTATAGCCCTGGGGTCAAAATCGACCCCGCCCCGGGGGTCATTGGTTTTCCTTATATGTATATAGTAAAAACTTATATAGTAAAAACTTCAAAAAAAAATCTTCTAGCAATTGACAAATGCTAGAGGTTAGATATTTTGCATGAAACATTGTGTAGTAAACCTCCAGCAAGATTGTTCAAATTATAGCCCTGGGGTCAAAATTGCCCCCGCCCTTGGGGTCATTGATTTCAATATATTCATATAGTAAAAATAAATAAATCTTACTGTCTGAAGGTACAAGGCATAGAGCTTTAATGTTTGTTAAATAATATCATCTAAAGGTACTCTACAAAAGTTAATTCAAATTTTGCCTCTTGTGTCAAAATTAGCCCCCGCCCCCGGTGGCCATAGGTTTTCCTTATTTGTATATAGTAAAAACTTAAAAAATCATCTTCTCTATATTTACAAAGGCTAGAGTTAAGATATTTTGCATGAAACATTGTGTAGTGAACCTCTTGCAAGATTGTTCAAATTATAGCCCTGGGGTCAAAATTGGTTCCGCCCGGGGTCATTGATTTTCATTATGTACATATAGTGAAAATATAGAAAATATTTTTGTCTGAAGGTACAAGGCATAGAGCTTTGATGTTTGATATATAATATCATTTATAGGTCCTCTACCAAAGTTGTTCAAAATATTCCCCAGGTGTCAAAATTGGCCCTGCCCGGGGGCAGTGATTCTCATTATGGACACATAGTAGAAACAGAAAATAAAACAAATGTTTTCTGAATGGGAGAAAGCTATAGCTTAGATATTTGACCTGAAATGTTGTTTGGTGGACCTATATCAAAATTGTTTTGAATTAAACCCTTGGGTCAAAATTATGCATTGCCCAAGGGGACAGTGACCTACTTTCTTGTCCTTTGATGTACAGCAATGACATTTTGACCATGTGCACAGTTTTAGTTGTAAAATTGAACTTTGATATCAGGTGACCTAGATTTTGATGATGTGACCTACTTTCTTGTCCTTTGATGTTCAGCTATGAAATTTGAACCATGTGGTGGCATAGCATTTTTCTCAAATGCAACCTTGTTTTTTCCTAAAAATAGATTTTCAGAGTATATTCACCAGTTTTTCTTCTAAAAATAGATTTTCTGGCAATCCCTAAAAGACGCAAGACTTTCCTGTTTTTGTTTGGGGTCCCACTGGGCTCCTTGCCATTGGTTCTTGTTGCTGGGTCATGTGGGGATTGCGTTCATTGAACGCCGCCTTTCCTTGTTGATCTTGTTTATCATATTTGACGTGACGTCACGCCAAGTTTGTTGTTATTATTCTGATAAAACGTTGAGTTGGGTGTACATAAGAATCAAATTAGTCTATATAAGTTACCGTTTTTCATTTTTAAGAACAATAGGGATTACCATGCCAATGGAAAGGGCCTAATTATGGAAAAAGTAGACAAGCTGAAAAATAATGATTTCCGTCGTATGCAATGGCAGATGAAGCCATATAAAAGCTATTTATACATTATATAATAAAACAGATATGTACTTTTTAGCTGTTGAATATGATGTGATATGTACTGAAAAAATTAATATTGACCTCGGCTATCGCCTCGGTCAATATTAATTTTTTCAGTACATATCGCCTCGGTCAATATTAATTTTTTCAGTACATATCACATCATATTCAACAGCTAAAAAGTCCATATTTGTATAATATTTGCTGTTTGCTTTTGTGGTCACGTGACAAAACTTCATCCAGTGTGTATTTTGCAGTTGGAAAAGTCAATATACTCCTGTCGGCATTTCTTCTGTCTGCACTAAAGAAAAAATAAGACTCGAACAATAACTGACTTGTTGTCAGTAACAAAACCAAAAACGTTAAACCATTCAATCGTTGTAAAACACAATAAGTTACAAAAAAAAATATTCGGTTCTTTAAACATTCAATATGTCTGAATATATATGTTGAAAGTTTTGTTTGTCTTCAAATTTGCGTTGATATTTTTGGCTTAAATTTCAGAAATAGCGTACATAAATATTTTATTTTTTCTTTATGATGATAAATTTCCAACAGATAGGTATCAAACAAATTAAATGTATATCATTAAAGATAACACAATCAGAGGAAACATGTTAATTACACATTTCTCACTTCCGGAAGTGACGCAGTTCGTGTCCCTTCCATATTTTTAAAAGAAGACGCGGTCTTGGGATCCACACCTAGCGTAGTCGAACAAATCTGTAACAATGTCTTTCATTAACGTTGCCATCTCGACAGTACAATCGCCGGTTACAACAAAGTCTACACAGTTGAAAAATTTTGAGGTCGCACTGTAAATAAAATAATTATAAACCGACCATCTTTATAAAATAGGTTAGAAACATTAAAAAACATTAGCCTAAAATATTATTTATAACTATTGTGTTAAAAAGGTGATATATTGAAATTATATACAGGCCACTGTCGTTATCTCGAAGTCATCGGAACTGTCAACAATATCGAGATAACGAAATGTCGAGATAAACGTATTAGGGTTTGAACCTGCCAGAAACTGATTTTTACAAAAGACATGTGCATACCTTATATTTCAGAAAATAGAGAAAGATAGATGTTCCATGTCTTGTTTTCTTGTGCCTAATATTTCAATGATGAAGGCTATATTTATCAAATGTATTACATAAGCGGATTGTTACCGGCGGAAAATATACGGCACACATTTATTTATAATTGTATTTCATTTTAATTTTAGTCAGTGCTCGGGGCACGATTAGTATCATGCATTTACCACTGCTTTGTTAATAAAACCTTGTCTTCAACAGTTTCGTTTTGATATGTTTACGACCTTCAAATAGACCACAATCTTTTATTTTCATAGTTTAATAGATAACATTAACATACGTGCAAACAGCGCTTCTGTATGCCGTGTAATTTAGTTGTGACTTCAATGTTTGTGCATCCAGTAAGGACTGTTTATAAGCCTGTTTTTCATATGATATAAGTTTTGAAACGGATGAAGATATGATGCAATAGAGATCAAATCGGTTATTCAGAAATCAATCTGAAATTATGCATATACTTTAATTAATCTCTGCATGTATATTGCATATTGCATTAAAAGAGAATGACCACCTTTACATTTCATTTCGAAGGCGGGAAGCAATTTGGAAACGTACCGTGCTTTAATGCACAGTGCGAAAGCAATGTGTTTGTTAAACTATTCAAGCTGGCGATTATTACGTATATTTGTCGACTAAATGTTATATGTAATTATAAATTTAAAATATTCTTTTTATATTTAAGAACATATTTAGTCGTTTTCAAGTTAAAAATAAAAGTACATTAAACAAATATATATTCCTTTAATTAATTAATTTTATCCAAAAAAACGAACCAACAAAATAGATAGAATTGTCATAAAACTGTTCATTTTCTTGCAACAAAATACAAGAATCAGTCTTGTTTACTAATTATTTGGCAATTGTATATCAAACTTTTAGGATCTTCTATCAAAAGTGGAACAAACGTTTAAATATAGAAACAACATGCTGTGCTTTTAAACCCAATTTATTCAACATATATATACAATGGTCTTAAGATTTATATACCTTCTAGATTCTCACAAGCCACACTGTTGGCCACTCTCATTGACACTACGTCCATTTCTAAATGTTCATCTTTTTCACTGCAGCCTCTCAAAGCATCTTCATAACATTTTATGTTACTCTCTTTCCTAAATGTATTATCACGATAAATCAAATCAAGTAAACAAAAGGGAAAATTATTAATTAAGAAATTATTAGAAACTGTAAGATTATAATCAAAGGTAATATTTGGCTACCCGCGACAAATATGAAATATTTTTTATTTATTTAAAAAGCCTGCATAGCTGAATCGGTAAGAGCGCGAGTCTTACAATCACAACACTATTGGTTCGATTCCTTGGTTGGTCATCTAAAATAACTTAACAGTCTTTCGGGTGAGACTCCATGCATGAGTGCGTACACACTTGTCATGCTAAATAACCAGGAAAGTTTCTGCATTGATACATCTTTCTTGTATATTGTTCTATCCTCTAAAATCTTAAATACATGTAATTAATACTCTTCTGGATGACTCGCCAATATGGGCAACCTGTGGCAAGTATAAATAACCTCATATTTACACACGTAAAAAGTAAAAGCGGTCACTATTTGTATATTAATTGTTTTTCCTCAACTTTCATTTCACATAAATTAATAATTTCCATCATGGAAACAAGCGAAATGCAATTTATCCATTCTTTTTATAATGCGCTATAATACTATGATTTTATTAGAAAATGGTTGCATTAATATCATTTATATGTTGTAAAGTTGGATTCCAACTACAACAGGTTATATAATTATTATATAATATTGCATAATATTACTCAAGAAGTATAACATGTATAATCTTAAGGAATATTTTTCAAGAAATATTAAAGTCTTTAAACTTTAACTTAGATTTAAGTTTATTTTAAAGTTTAATCATATTGAATATTGTATTGTTTTATAGACATTTCATTCTTATCATTCATTAGTTTAATGTTGATTATAGTTTGTAGAACTTATTGATACACTCATTAACAGTAACTTAGCATGGCCTAAGACTCTTTATATACAACATATAGAGAATGGTTCTACTTTTAATTACACTGGCCTTTAAATTTAGTGAGATACAAGTTACTGATTTAGCATTTATATATGTTTGTAAATATGTTTAGTTGATATTAGTTTCTAGTTTTATTGTTTAGAATATTTTTGTAAAAGTTTCTTACTTTATTATTTTTGTGATCATGGTCAATTGATACTGTTGCAAAATTTTCCATGAATCATAATCTATTTTTAGAATAGTTATGTAAAGAACTGATAAGCCTAGAGCATTTGTTAAGTAAGCTCTGGTTGGCTGTAATTTGACCAATCAGATAAGTTGTAACATACAGTGCCACCTGTAGGTAGATGCTAGCTCCCTCTGGGATTCAGAAGTACATTTATACACAGGCAGCACACCACACTAAATGAAGCCGCAGCTTCGAATGGCCAGGGAGGATTTCATGGATATAGTGACTATTGTGGATTTAAATGACTGGTTGTCTTTAAAATGCATTTTCAGCATGAAATTTGTTTTTGTGACATGTAATATGATCATTGGAAAATTCGAAAACATGGTTAGAAATCACAGGCTAATAATTATTGATGTCAAGGTCGCCATTGTTTGTATAAATTGCTTTTAAACAGCATGCTCGGTGAAAACAAGTAATTTTACAGGGGGGTACAAACTTTCATCAATAGCAAAAAATCTACAAGGCCAAGCACCTATTTCTTTGTGATATTTTGCATGCATAGGGAGTTGCTAAAGCAGTGACAGAGTTTTTGTAGACCGTATATTTGCAGGTATTTTTTGCCGGAGGGATGAAAAATATTGTTTTGGGTCTCGGACCACTATAGATTTTTGGCTTTTACGGAATGAATTGGAATTTTTTTAACTGCCCGACTGTTGCACATGGGATGATTTCATTACAGATTTGCAATGGTATGACATATATGTTCTTAACAAAATGTGTTTTCTTTTTCCAGGTTGTGTAGTTTGGGATCAGATTTATCAGACATATTGCTTGTAGGACATTGACGGCAGAAACTTGAAATTTAGTGTGGAGTGCTACCCAAGCATCTTAGACTATTTTGTCATTCTGCTGCTAATTTTTGGAAATGTAACATCTCTAAAAGCTCTCTAAGGTTAATTAATTAATTATTTAATTTATATTAGGCACTTTGGCATTTAAATGAACCTTAGAGATTATCTAAATTCACTGAAACATTTTTGATAAATTTGTAAGTAATTTTTGTAAGTTCTTTTTACAGAATTAATTAAGATTAATTAATATCTTTTCTTTGTTTAAGTGGCAGCCATCTTGAATCATTAGATCTTTACTTTTGTTGATGTAGATTATAACAGGGCTTGCTACTATTCAGATAATTATTAGTTTAAAAGCACAGAATCATTAAGGTTATTTTTCATATTTTCATTTAGAACAGTTAAAACAACTTTTAATTGGTTTAATCTTTTATTTAACTAGTTTATTTTGATTAATTTAATTTTTGGTTAATTAAAAACAGTTTATATTAAAGTACATTTTGTCAACTTCTTTAGTTTTAAGTAACTTTTAGTGTAAATAAAAACTTAGTTCATTAAAAATTTGGTTGATTTAAATTTATTCAACATTTGTGTTTTATTTCCCTTTGCATTCAAAGGGTGGTGTCATCCTGACGATTAAATTTATCCCATTAAAGAGTACTCCTGAGCAAACTAAGAACATTAAAAAGTAAATATTAGGTAATAAGTAACTAAATTCTATTTATAGAAAGTAAAAGCTTTAAAAATAAGCACCACAACATATATACAAAGTTCTGCAACTTAACGAATTGCTTTTCTATTTTTATTTACAAGAAACATTTACATAAAATCGTGTTCCAAAGGCGTTAAACCATTTTTACAGTGTTATATAACCGTGGTCAACTAGCGTCGTCTAGCAATTTAGGTTATATATGCTTTCAACCGTTTATACTGGGTCATATATGCTGTCACAAATGTTTATAATGTACACGGTCCACGTGTCTACTTACACTTTACAGTAGTTGTCTATTCGTGGTGGCAATCTTTTATCCAATATGGAACTTAGTGTAAGCGTCTCACATTTTGAAATTCTTGACATTAAACTTGACTTGAAACAGTGGCTATCCTGCAAAACAAGTTTTTAAAAACAAATGAAACAAAAAAGGAAAAACAGAAACAAATATATTTGAGGTGCATGACATATTTGACTATATAAACGTGTGTGCTTGGTCGGCAAGAGTAGCGCATCTAAAAATAAAAGTTAGATCTATAAAAACTTTTGTATTTAGCTTATGATTGCATCATGAGCCCTTCAAAAGGATTTGCCAAATTCAATAACTTCCACATTTTTCTCGTGCCTTGTGATGAATTGCATGCAAAGTTGGTCCCTGAAAAACATTTGCATGAACGTTTGGTTATGATCAGAAGGAACATCTAACATGCAGTATTTGATATTATAATCAATGGAATAAAAACTCTCTTTTTAGTTAAACCCCCAACATCCGATCAGACTATCGGATGCAAATTAACTCTCTCTCTACATTGTTTTATCAGTGATAGACGTCCAGCAAAGGCTGACTAAGTGTACTGATTCTAAAAATAGCCAAAGCAGACGATGGGTTTTTACACACAAAAAAATACCTTTTAACAGAGACATCATAGGCTAACCTCATTTCTGACCACCAGTTGCAGATTTCCTGTTAGTTTATCCCTTGATGCCAAACAGTCACATATATATCTATTCTTGTCATATTTTTGTTTAAACCTTAGTATGATTTCTGATATAACTATATACCACAGGTATATTTTAATAAGAAAGTGTATTGCTAGGCTGCTATCAGTAGAGATAAAACAAAACATCACATTTCTGTGTTTAATTGGCATATAACACTACAATACAGGAGGGTGACAGGGCGTGTAAGGTCTTGTTTTTGATTTATTATTTAATAAGTACAGAGTTTCTGAGACAAGCAATGTGATAAGTTGTTTTCTTATTTCAAAGTTGATACAGTTCAGTACTAACATAATGATATTTAACAATAAATGGGACTACACATTTATACCTTCCATACCTTACATATTTTGCATCTTCTACATTTAGATGACATTTGTCTGAAATCAGTTTAGGAGGGATTTTTTGTACAAGGAAAATAGTGTTTTTGTTTGGTGTTTTCATTGATTTGTGTTATTTAATATAAATGGATAAGTTGTTTTGTCATTGTTACTTAAAGGAATAGAAACATACCAGTGAACCTCTGTTTAACCACACTTATTGGAATTGGTAAAAGTGTGTCACCACTATTAGAGGAAAAAATGAGGTCATAGATCACATGTCAAATAAAACTGGAAATATAAATGGTGCCATCAAAGAGATAGCTGACTATATAGTATATTACAAGACAAAGTGCGAATGAAACTAATGTATTTGATTCTGGCTTTAATGATTCATGTGAATACATGTAATGTTTTTGGTCCTTGTGTGTAAATGTGAAAGAATAGTCCTGAAGAGGAAAAGGCCAAGGCAGAAAACCTACATATAAAATTTTAATAAAAATCAGATACAAAAAGTTTTGTTCAATTATGTAAAGAGGCAACGCTTAGCCTAAGAAACAATGTATTTCTTCATTGAAGAGATGATAACTTCTGAGCACTCTTTTTGTTCAACTAGACAAATTGTAATCCAAAATTGTGTTTTAAAAAAGTAAGGAAACTGTATCTACTGGTACAATTCTACACTGGACACTGACCTTAGTTGATGACATTTAGAATTACTACTAGTATTTATAACTTGAATATAATGTGTCTGTAAAATTGATAAAATAACAATATAGTGAGAGAAACAAGTCAAGAGTTTTATTATTTCAGTTCATTTTTATTGTGAAATGTACTGGATTTATGCACTTTTTATCAGTATAAACTATAATTCATTTGATGCAAATTGGATTATTCTGACAAAACTAAGAAAAAAATATATCAAGTAAGTAAACCATTGATGTAGGCCTACTTATTGCATGTGCATGGATTCCAATGTTATCACATTGCTATGTTTACAAATTTAAACAATGTGATCACATGATTATTTACATAATAAACTCCTCCCCTTAGTTCAAATTTGAATTTCTGTTATCATTTGATATTAAATTATAAGAACCTTTTTCTTCACACATTTTGCAATTTCTTATCTAAACTGATAGCTTGATCAATTGGCCTCATTTAGGATTTTTTTCATTGGTAAAAATCACCATTTTACATAAATATTCTTAAAAAAATCTCTCCCTGATCTGAATTCAGTTTGAAAATTCAAGGGAAACCACCCACCAGCCATTACCTCCCTTTTATACCTAGGTTGGGTCTTTAAGAGAAGTATCATGAGAGCCTTCGACAGATTTCCATAAAGGTGGATGATTTTAAAAAAAGTTGTGCCGTGGTTATGAAATGTGACTGCATTTCTATGTACTATGTTTCTTTACATAAAAGTAAATATGTTTTAATGTACTATCTTATGCACTGAAAACAACACTGATCTGATTTTCTCACCAGTTTCGGACGAGGGCACGTCAAACCTCCACCATATTTCTTGTATAGGTTATCAATATCAGGGTTGGCACAAAATGAAAGGGAACTGGCTACTTTGATCATATTTAAATAAATCTTTGCGTTGTCCGCCGAACAATTTACAGACGGAACTACACGAATGCAGGGTCTGGCTTGAGTTGAATAACTAAAATGGAAAAGAAACTGAATTCATGATAAGCTAGTTTATGTTAAATTAGGCAATTACTTAATATGTCTCAAAATTTGTATATTATTTATTATGTATATTTTCATTAACCTTTGCTGCGATAGAAAATCTGCTCATTTTTGTGTAATTATATTGAAAAACCTTAAACTTTTCGTCCAGGACATACTAGATATATTTTGGTATGCAGGGCGACGATGTCATATTCATGCTTATGCAATATACACACCATATATACATGTAAGCACAAGCCTTTTGCATAGATGATTTATATAGAGTACATAGTATGTTTTGTATTGCTATCCAAACTATTTCATTCATTTACATTTGTAAGCTGATCATACAACATTTCATCTTTATTTCAATTATAGAATTAAAGAATATATTAAAATATAAATAGTGCGATAAAAAATGAAACGAAAAGAATCAGTTGTAAACATACTTGCATAACAACTCTTTGTATTCGTCATATTTGCCGTTTTCATATAGATCTTTTCCGTGGAATATACTTGATGCAAACATAGTGGAATTGCATAAACTGCCATCTGTTTCACATCGAACAGATCCTTTGACTTGTCCTTCAACAACTGTAAAAATATAACCGCATAACATAACACTGTTGAACCTAACACATTTTTATTTTGTAACATATTGCATAAACAGAATGTTTAAAGTGTAAATGATCTATTACGTCAAATACATGCAATAAATTGCAAACATGTATCTCGTGAATACTTGTTTTCAAATTAAATAAGATGAATATTTTTGAGTACTGTATGATTTATTGTAGGCTTATTTTATTCAGTTGCAGATCCTTTCTTGGGAGTACAAGAACAAGTAGAGTGAGTAAAGTGTTATCTCGCTATGACTAGGCTGATTTCTAGAATATCTTTGTGCTGTATTCCCTTGTGGTAAGACTGCCAATCAATTGTATAAGTCACGTGACTTTTCGAACATTTGTCAGACTACAATTTAGACATTATTATACAGTCACAAAGTTAATGTACATTTAAAATCATTATCGTAGCAAGCAATGACAAAAACATGAAATTATGATACCTTTACATACATATGTATTAATTGTGTCAATAAAAACTTGTTAATAACTTACTGTTCGGCAAGGTATGACAAATAATTTTTCACCGTTGCACACAAACAAACAAGCAATCTTACACGAAATATCAGCGCATGCAATTCTGTAGGCGACTTTCATTTTCTCTGGGTCATTATCCATAAATTTGTCTAGAAAAACATCACTTTTTGTACAGTCTCCAACAGCATCAAACAAACACTGTATAAAACAGTCAATGCTGAAAATTGAAACGGGGTGTAGTTCCTTTTTTTGTTAAGAACAATGTTTTCATCTTTCAAAAAATCTGTTAGTAAATAGTGGCACACTCACGCTGTTATCAACTGGTTAGAACGACGTTCAACCAATGGAAGTCATTTTACTTAATCAACTACATCTTTTTAATGAAAAAGTTTTTAGGTAGCTTCTATCAGGCAAACAATATTTTCAATAGTTAAAACATTAATAATAGTCTTGAAACGCCTAAGGTATTAAGTACACTAACGAATTTCGTAAATTCATAAACAGTAGATTCACATAATCAAAACTTGAAGACAACGCAGAACCAAATAGTCTACTTCCGGTTAAGCATAAATCAGTGAAAATTTTCCCATTCTGTGATGTAGTTATCCGCAAATTTGTTAAGTGTTATGCATGAATTAAATCCGCTATTATGTGTATTTATTTTAAATCACCAGTTCTGGAAAAACATACTTATATGTTCTTGAAATATGCTGGGTGTGGGTGTGTGTGTGGGTGTGTGATTACAAGGATATCTAAATTGTAAAATATTAAAAAAAAACGTATCAGATAATTTTGTATCAAAATATAATTGTATATTTTTTCGAGACAAAAATAATATTGTATTTTACTTGTTGCACATTGCTACATAATCAATATCGATGGAGTTCGCTAAATACGCTCGCCGGCATAATTCCCAGTCTTTAGCCGCTTCCTCCTTATTGCAATACACGTCTCCAGCAACACATTGAACCAAATATATAGCTTTAAAATAAAATAATAAAACGTAGTCAAGCAGTTTTATGTAAAGTCGTTTCTATTAACATTTGTTATATCATTAAAAGGTAGCTCATCTGTAACGCACCACTGCATGTAAAACAAGTAAAGATCTAACATCAGATTGGTTATTTTCGAGTTGATCATTGATTTTACGAGCAGGATACAATTTTGACAAAACTTTACTGCGTAATTAATTATTATACACACACATTAAAAATGGACTATGACTTATCTTAAATGCCCTATACAAAAATAGAACAAATGCCACTGAAAGAATTAATTCATATGAA